AAAATGTGACCTGATAAAGGAGAGGAGAGGGACAGAGATTGCTTTTGTCTGAGTCAGTGTCTTCCAGCTATAAAAACACACTCATAATTGAACAAAGTTGAGATTAATGACTCAAAGCAAAGAGGAAAAACACACAACACGGCAGAACTGGGATGGCTTAGTAAGAAGTTGTCAAAAAAGGACTTATAGGATTTATTATGTGATTTTTAGGGAGGCTCCATTAAATGTAGACTTACTCCCGTTGGATGTCCTAAGGAAGATGTACCTTCAGGCAACCAATTGATGTTACTCTCAAATAAATACGCATGTCCTCTGATTAGGATTAAAAATATAATAATCTCAGAACTGAAGGAGACCTTAAACACCAGTGAATTCTGAGACTATCCCAACCATCACCATCTTCTTCTATTTCTTGTAAAATCCTTTTTCTTTACTAAAGCAAAACATGAAAAAAAAATTAAAATAATCTTGGAATGAGTAAAGCCTTTTCTAAATAGAAAAAAAGTACTAAAGGCATTAGAGCATCTATACTAATAATAGGGTAGGGTAATATGCAAATTGGTCAGGACAACATCACTGTAACAACCAATCAGCAGGCTGTTTGCACAGCAGGTGTAGTTGGGCAGGGACTTGCAGCACTGGGGACTTGGGCAAGGCCATGGCAGAGAGCCCTCTCTGCACACCTGTAGTGGAGGACCACAGGCACACAAAAGGCCTCCAACGAGGGCCCAGCCAGGGGTCTGCAGGCTTGTGGCCCTGGCTGGGGGTCTGCAGGTGTGTGGAGGTTTGCAAGGAGCCGACTTGGGGGTGGGGCCACATCAAGAGACTCCTAGCATCTGCACTGGTGGTCCACAGGCCACCACTGGCTCTGGCTTACCTCTTTGGGGCAATCCATCCAGGAGCCATGAATGGGTGGGTGGGGTCGACAGCTTTGGGATGATGGATTGTGGGGCTTCTGCACTATGACAGGGCACAGGCCATGCTTGGGGCCCCCGCTGCCCCAAGTGCATGAATTTTGTGCACCGGGCCACTGGTATTTTAATTTAAAAAAATGTAAAGGAAGCATGAATAAGTAGTAAAAAGAGTAAAAATATTTGCAACTCATATATCTAGGACTGATTTTTTAAATACCAGCTCCATGTGAAAACACAGCATCTGTTTGAATATCTCCGGTGTTACTCTTGTGCTAATTGACCAGGCAGTTCATTCCACATCAAATGGAGCAGAATATTGTTCAAAGAGAAAGAGAACAAGACATTTGGTTATAATATCTTAATTGTTTTCACCCCAGCATGTTTGACCTCTTCAAATGCATCTTCTCTAGTATCCAGGGAGCAGAGTAATTACCTTTTTAATGTTATGTAAAATATTCCCATTAATACTCTCCAAACTGCAATTGTTGTGGGTTGGGGTTTTTTTTTTGTTTGTTTTTTTTTTTTTTTTTTTTTTTTTGTATCAGTGCTCCAACATAGTTTTGCATCTTTTGTTGTAATAACATTTGCAGAGATTTTTATCCGTTACTGCTGACAAAGCCATGTGTTTTTTTCACTCAATTGCATGTAATTAGTCTTTTCTTCAGGAACAAAAAAACAGGTGTCTTTATCTATTCTATGCAAGATACCATAGTAAGGTTGGTTGAATCTAATGATGTCTAGTGAATCAAACAGCATAATTCTGACAAATGCTCATAGTAACAAGATTTTTTTTTTTAAAAAGCAATTAAATGTTTTTACGCCTGCCCACACCAAATAGAAAAAGCAAGGCATTTTAACATTTTAGGATTTATAATAATTTTCTATTAAAAGTTAAAAGTTGAGTAACATTTAAATCTTTCTCTGATGTTTTAAATTCCCACTCAGAAAACATATGAATAAAAATTATGTTTTCATTGAAAAATTTACAAAAGCTCAGTTAATAGCATTGCGCCAGTATTAATTCTCTAGTTTTTCATAATTATACTATTGTTACATAAATTAGTACTATTAGGGAGGTAGGTGAAGAGTACACAGGGATTCCTGTATTACTTTGTAATTTTTCTGAAGTCTAAATTTATTTCAAAAGGAAAAAATAAAAATAAATATTTGGCTAAAAAGAGTATTTAGCCAATGACATAAATAAACTTTTACATGTCTGCACAAGGAAACATTCATTCATTTGTTCCATTTATGTTGAGTACTTATTATATATCTGAGTGATCATTCTAAGTTCTAAAGCTATATCAAAGATGAAAGCAGAAGTCTCTTCATTCATGAGACTAACATTCTCCTGGGAGGAAGATAAAAAATAAACAAGTACACAGCAACAATATATATGCAGGTAGTCATTACAGCTATGAGGAGGAAAAAAAATAGAGTATCAGAATAAAGAAAGCCAAGGTGAGATAAATCATTTTATAAAAGATGATCAGGGAAGGTCGCTTTAACATCTATCAGAAATTTCTTGACAGCACTGTTTGTAAATGCCCTAAAATATAAAAGATGATTATCCACAATAAAAGAGAATAGATAAATATATTGGTAATATTCATGTAATAGGCTACTCTACCAAAAAAAAATATCAAGCAAATATATAACCATATATTCATCTCAAAACCATAATATTAGGTAAAATTATATATTTATGTTCAGTAATAGTTGCACTTTTTAATAAAATATTTAAAAACATACAAAACAATACTTGATTTAATAGACATATATGAAAGAATGTATTTTAATACAGCATTATATGTATTATATGTATAAGGTGGAGCAAAAATAGGTTTACAGTTGTAAGTATGGAAAACATAGTTTATTCTTTTATTATATTATTTTCCATACAAACAACTGTAAATCTACTTTAGTCCCACCCTGAATATAAGTATTTGTGTATAACATATGTGTGTAGGCATATATTTACAGTAGCCATTGACCCAGCATCAGCAGAGAAAGCACTTGCAATTATTTTTCTAGCAAGAGTGAAGGAAGGATTTGTCTTAGCTGAGGTCACACTTTCATCTAGCCTTCTACCTCCACTCCATGATAAATTGCGTGCATCCACAGGGCAACTATCTGGGTTATAGTTGTATCCTATGGAATTGAATATGGTTACTTGACTTAGTTGGGGATTGAATCTATCAATTTCTAATTTTTCAATATTTTTTAAGGTAGGATGAAAAGTGCAGAGAGAGGATGTTAATGTTATCATCTTTGGCCACATCGTTTCCTAGAAAAATAAACTGAGATCAAGGGATACCTCAGAGTAACATGGGTGACACAGCTTAGTGATCTCCTTGGTTCTTTCCATATATACTTGTTGCTTGCTTTACTAAATCCACATTCTTGTGCAGATGCAATAGATGGAAATCCTGCATGGGAAGTGAACCATTCTCAATCTTCTGTCCTCAGTTGAAAATGTGAATCATTTAAAGAATGCATATTCACAAACACAAACCAACAATGCAAACCACAATAAGCTAATCAACTACTTTGAAGAAAACTGGAATGGAATTCTTTATAATAAGATTTTCTTCTTTACTATAATTCATATTTTGTAATGTATAATATTAAGTGAACAAAGAATAATTTGGAAGGGGTGGGCAAGATCAATTTCACATTTTAGGAATTGTAGATCTTTCCTCAAATCTTTATTTTTAATTGAAAATATACCTCATCATAAAATATCAGGCTTCTTAGATTACCTTATGCAGTCTATGTTTTGGTAGATTGTCAGTCTGACTATAAAATCATATCCATCAGAAGACAAATTCAATTGCACATATATTTAATGAACATTTACTATACACCCAAAAGTAAGATTCTAGTAGTGAATACAGATAAACTTTAGAAAATACTATGGCACCCCACATAATTTTAGAACACAAATTTTCCTCAGTTTATGCTGAAAATGAAAGGTATGATGATAATGAGCATCCTTATGCTAAGGTTTGTATTGAAAATATTTCCAAAATTAAAATATACTTTATTAAAACTTGATGATTTTGTTAAATTACTAAACTTATCAACTCTAAAGTTGAATTAGTTAAAAATGATTTCCAGTGATATTATTAAATTCATGCATGGTGTGGGGAGGGGGAGTTAAGGGGAGGAGAGTCCCCTCAGCCTGGCCTATATCCTCTCACAATCTGGGACCACTGACTCCTAACCACTCTCCTGCCTGTCTCCCTGATCACTCCTAACCACTCTGCTTGCCTGTCTCATTGGCCCTAACTGCCTCTGCCTGCCTACCTGATCACCACTAACTGCTCGCCTGTCTACCTGATTGTCCCTAACAATTATGCCTGCCTGCCTCATTGCCCCTAACTGCTCACCTGCCTACCTGATCACCCCTAACCACTTTGCCTGCCTGCCTGACCACCCCTAATTGCTTCTGCCTTGGCCCCCACCACCACAGCTTCCTCTGGAATGATGTCCCAAAGGTCGTTTGGCTGTCCAGTTTAATTAGCATATTCTACTTTTATTATTATAGATAATATTTGCCATTTTATATTAAAAATATAAACAATGTTCAATGTTAATTATCTTGCTATTATCACATATGCTATCATAATGTTATTTTAATATATTTAATATATATTTTCTAAATCTAAATAAAATAACATGCAATATGCATATGTATCCGATATTTATATTAAGAAGTAATTTTGGTCTGCCTGAAATGATGTTCTAAGAGTTATTTTAACATGTTTACTATTTAGTTCTAAGACTGAAAACACTGTCTTGTGCTGTAAAGTCTGCCTTGTTTCTATGAGTACTTATCATCCTGACTACAAACACTGGGATGGAAGGAAAACTGGGTGGAACTCCTTTGGGCCTCCTAACTTCTCATTCAGTACACAACCTTTCTCCCTTATTGTCTCTTTGCTATAGGGAATCATAGCAAGAAAAATACATCCATTTACTTGTAGATAAATAGTTCAAAGGCAGCCCGGCCATGCTTTAAGAATATAATACTGGGTTATACATTTTATTGTGAATGGATTGCAACAATCTAATGTTTCTTACTGTAGTCGCTGTTTTCGTCCTTGGTCCCATCGATGGTACCATCTGGGTGCATCTGCAGGAAATATCCCTGCTGGCTGAATAACCTTGTCACAATTCCTTTCAGCTGGGGTTCTGCAAAACAAAAAGAAATGATTATTCAAATTGGTACTTTATTTATAAAAATGCTCAATTGAAAATTGCCAGAAACATTTTCTAAGTAAATGCATAGATGCCAAAGGCTTAAATATTAAAATAAGTATTTGGAAAGGGAGTGTTTCAGGAACATATCTTCTCTTCTTATTCCTTCCAGATGCAGGACCATAATACTATGCAGCAATAAACCAAGTGTAAATAAATAGAAGCTAATTATGATTAGCAAAATACAGAGGCATACTAAAAAGTGAATTACTTCTCTCTTCCATGCATCTAGTGTCTGACTGCAAGTTTATGTTCCCATTCCAGAATCACTGGTTAGACCAAGCTGCCCCTGTAGTTCTTAAACTTCCAGCAGTAATATTTGGTTCCTGGAAGAACTCGGTTTCTGCTGAATGTCAACTATCCATCAGAAACTCCTAGGTTTTGAAATTCTGGCCAAGTTCAATCAGAAAAAAAATTGCTTGGATGAGAACCATAGGAAAGAGCAAAAACCATGGCCATGAGTTGTCACAGGAAAGTATGTGGAAACAGATTTCACCTTCAATAAATACCTGACCAGAGTGGAGACAGTACTACAGTGATTTTTCCAGCCCCAAAATAAATCAATTTGTTCATATTTCTCTAATTATTTCAAACTTGAAGTGGTTGGTCCTCAGCTTTTAAAAATTTCCTTATGAATACCACCAAACTGAACTTTGTAAACCATATTTGAATTTTTGTACATCCCTTAAAATAAATATTTAGTGCTTCTCATTATGGTGCTGACTGCCAGCAACAATTCCTTTTCTATAGCATCACCACCATCTTTATTTCTACTTCAGTGCTGAGTAAAAACTAGACTATTCTACTGCATTTGTAGCCCTAATTATTTCATAAAAATAAGAACAAAAAGTTCTGCTTCTCAAGGCAAAGATAGAAAACATATGATTGAGGCAAAGATAGAAAACATAATTGCTGAAGTGGCAACATGTTATCCTCAAAGGGACAATCACCAAATTTCAACTACTGACAGTCAACTTCATTCCTTCACCCACTTTCTAAACCAATATTCACTCTGAATCTCTTTTTTGTCATGCAATATGCTAGGTACTGTGTGTTAAACTGGACACATTTATTCACATTCAGGTCTAAATAAGAATTCTAGTCAAGGATTCAATGAATTTAACTTTTTGGGAATGCATCTGTTCCCTATAGCATTTGTCTATGATCACACTTCTGCACATTTGACTTGATCACACATATTTGGGGAAATGAGGCAATGCCTGTATAAACATGTCCTGTTCAAAGCAATCCTAAGAATCAGGAAAAAAAATGCCTAAAATTTTGGAAATGAGGAAGGAGGGTTCTAAAAAAGAAAATGAACTGAACTGAAAATTTGCCATACTGATTTATAACCATAATTATCTTTGTAAGTTAAATTTATTTAAATTGTGGACCATAAATTCCTCACCAATAATATCTAAAAAGTTAAAGTAAAAGAACTTTAGGTCCCTCCTGTGAGTCTCTATTGACTGTGTACATTAGAATCATCTGCCCTGAGTGGTGGCAGAAATCAAGAAATGTGTGCATCTTCAATGTGCTGATTTCAAGAGCCCCACCCAATCTGACATACTGGAACATGTTGGAAGAGCATAGAGCTAGCTAACCAATCTCACTACATTAAAAAAAAAAAAAATCCTATACCCCAACTGCCATCTATCAAATCTTACCAACTTTCCAGGTTTAGTTCAAGACCACCTCCTCACTAAAGAATTGGAGGTCCTAAGTGAGAATCTCTTTCATAACTAGGGGAAGGAAAAGGATACACGTGCCTCTGCTATGAAGCTAACTGATTGCCCGGCAGGTCCTGCTGTGGCACACTTAGCTGTCAGAAGACCCAACGTTGAGCCACAGTTGTCAAGTGGTCTTTAGCAAGTCATTTAACATCTAAGCCCCAGTTCTCACATCTGTATAGAGGAAAAATAATTCCTATTCTAACTACAATCATTAAGAATTTCAAATTAATAAACACATGTGATAGTAATGACTGGAAAAACACACACACACAAAAAAAAAACACCCATCAGAGTATAAATACAAATGAAGGTCTAATTTTTCAACCATCAAAATCAAAGAAACCATGTGAGGTAAAAGGAGTATTCTGTGAACAGACTCTGTCTTCTGATTTCTGTTTTAATAAAATAGTAATTGAGTTTGTTAAAGTCATTAAAGAAACAGAACGCTAAGAGTAGAAACTATAAAAAGATAGAAGGAAAAGGACAGCTCTTACAATTCATATTTTCTTTCTATTCAGCATGATACGGTCCCTTTAAGAACTTATGTTTTTGTTGATTATGAAATCATGGCAGCTGAGTCATTAATGCCTGCAAATGACTGTGTTGTTTTGTTTTGTTTGTTTTTTTTCATAATCTTTTTCTGTAGCTGTAATTAAGCACGTCTTTTGCTATAGTGAAACTATCCATACGCCACCCCCACTGTTGGGGCCCTGAGAATTCAGGTTGCTTATTCCTGTTCAAAATAATGAGCATTAGGCTTTTATACCAAACCCCACTGCTCAAGAGAAGAGCCAGAACAAGTTCCAAGTTTGAGTTTTAATGATGTGATGACCTATGAAAGTGAATGTCTTACACTATAGATGTTTCAAAGGAGGGCTGACCATCCATTGAACAAAGGTCCTGAACCTAGGATGTGTCATAGAAAACAGTATTACCTACCCTACAGGTCTATATCCTTATTACCTCTTATTACCACCTATCAAGTCCTACCAATCATTCTAAGTTCAGCTCAAGATCACCTTTTCTATAAAGGTGTGGTGATCATAACTGAGGATCATTTTGATAATTGGGGGGATATGTTTTGTCGTATTTTAAAGAAAGGACTTCAAAAGTGAGACCATTTTTTTTGTCATATCTAATATGCTGATGCACTCATCACACATGCTTTTTATTTGTCAGATTTTTCATAAGGGTCTAATAGATTAATAAAACCTGATTTTCCTCAGAGAGCCCCCAGTGTAATGCATGAAACATATGGATATATAATACTAGTGTGGGATAGTTGTTAAATAATGGATAGAAGCAGCATGACATGATGGCACCAAGGAGCAAAGGAATAATTCTGTCTCGAGGTTGGAAGAAGGAATCTCATCTGTCACTAGAAAAGTGAGTTGAATCATCACAGGCTAAAAAAAGAAAAAAGTGACAGAGAGAAATGACATTTCAGACATTTAAAAAAATGGAGGGAGGCAACAAGCAGCATGGTAGACTCTGGGAAAGATGTAGAGTCTGGAATAGGCATAATATATGGCAGAGGTTCTCAAATGCTGACATGCAGGTAGAGTGACTGTTCTTAACAAATGTTCACAGGTCAATAGTGAAATATAATAAGATAAATAGGCTCAATGGATTAGATTTTTTATTAAGCTTTTTTTCCTATTTTATGAGTCTCTTGATTCTAAGATTATGTTTTTCCATTACTTTTTTCTGTTTTATTTATTGGTGACTAAATTATTATAAGAAGGGGGGGGGGTGATTTGTTATCTTTTGTACTCTGAAATTATGTGGCAAATACTGTTAGTTTTTCTCCCAAATTAATTTCCTCTTTTTTCTAGGCACCCAGCTAGACCATATGTCCCAGCCTCCCTTGCAGATAGGTTTGGCAGATGCATGGGTATCATATGGAATGTAAGTGAAAGTTATGTGTGTCTTTTTCAGGCCATGGATTTTAAAATAATATATTCTCCTCCAAATTTTAACACTGGCTGGATTTAGATGACAAAGCTGTAAAAGATGTAGCAAAATAGAAGAATTCTGAGCCCCTGAAAAACTGGTGGAGAAAAAACAGCCATCATAAATACCCACATCAAATAGTTAGATGAATAATAAATAAACTTTGACTGATTGTACATAGTGATTTCCTTCCTATATGGAAATGGATGGAGTGGTGGGGAGTAGCTTTACAGTGGAGAAATCTAAAAAATAAAAACACTACCTCAGTAATGTCATTGAGGTTAACATGAACAGTCATAAATCATGTTGACAGTATGTACCCTTGATATGATGTGATGAGAAGGGCACTTTATCTCTATGATGTCCCTTCCAAAATTCCATAACAAATTCCAACTGAAGGACTTTCTAAAATATAGCTGACCAGTACCTCTCCATACTGTCAAGATTATCAAGAATAAGGAAAGTCTGAGAAATTGTCACTGCCAAGAGTAGATTAAGAAAACATGTTAACTAAAGATAATGTGGTATTATAGATGGATACTCGTACTAGAAGAAAAAATAGATAAAAATCAAAGAAATCTAAATGAAGTATGGACCACATCAAACAAACAAAACAAAAACACTTTGCACAGTAAAGACCATCAACAAATCAAAAAGACAATCTACTGAATGAAAGCAGATATTCACAATGATATATCTCATAAGGGATTAACATCTGAAATTCATAAAGAACTCATACAACTCAAAATTAAAGCTCAAATAATCCAATTTAAAAAAAATGGGCAGAGGACCTGAATAGACACTTCTCTAAAGAAGTCATATATATGTGGCCATATTAAAAACATAGGGAAGATTCTCAAGATCAATAATCATCAGAGAAATGCAAATTAAAACCACAATAAATATCACCTTACATCTATCAGAATGGCTGTCATCAATAAATCAACAAGTAATATGTGTTGGCTGGAGGATGTGAAGAAAAGGAATCCTCCTGCACTGTTGGTAGGATTATAATTGAAGGCTCCTCAAAATATTAAAAATAGAATTACCTTATGATCCACAATTCCACTTCTGTATGTGTATGTATATATATATATATATATATATATATATATATACATATAGAAGCTCCCCTATATCTATACATAAAGGGGAGCATATATCTTCTCAAATTAGTGATATATATATATATATATCACTAATTTGAGAAGATATATGCTCCCCTATGTTAATTGCAGCATTGTTTAA